TGGAAAGCAAAATAGGGAAGTTGTCCTACAGAACAGAGATAGTTCACAAATGCGATCTGAAACATTAACCCGTTTGGCCTAAAATAAATAGTCAATCTGATACCTAAGAATGGAAAGAAACGCCAAGGAACAATTCAATGGGTGCAAGTAAGGAATGAAGATATAAGAACAAGAATGAATGACTGTACATGAGAATAATTATTTCCCAAAAGTTAATCCTTAAGATAAAATATCATCACAGTATCGACAAAGTATAAGCAGAATTGAATGAAGTAAACTAATTCAAAGTAAAGAGACGTTGTTTATGGTGCAGATAACAGGGGAAATAATAGAGCCCTTGTATCAAATAGGTAACACAAAAGCATGAAGACTGAAAAGTCGTGATGAGTGGATGTAAGAAAATAAAAAAGTAGATTCGAAGGTATGAAGACCAAGACAGTGTGGCCTTTTGTATCATCGTGGTCTCCTTTCGTGGTATAGTAATTGTTTAACCTTGTTTTCTTAACTTGGTCATATTGGCAAGAAGACCTAGGGGAACTCACCTTGTCCAGTGTCCATAGTATGCATGATAATTTCCAGAATTTTACCGTGGACTTAGCACATTCCCAGACGCCTCGCCGGCATCGTCAGTGAGCCTTGCCATTCTTAGCACCACACTACAACTAGTCAAAGAGAAAATTGAAGTTGTGATATCTCTTCTATTATGGGATATTCATCCATCCTATATTCTTGTATCACCTCTTCACTATCGTAATTTCTTACTACTTGCTTATGTAAAGTAAGAAATAGTGATAGTGAAGGGGTGATACGAGGATACAGGTTACATGAATATCCCGAGACAAGAGAGATACCACAATTGTTGAGCAGACAATTGTCTATTTGACTTGTAGTGTGGTCACTGATGATGTCTGCGAAACGTCTGAGAATGTACCAAGTCCACAGTCCGACTCTGGAAATTATCATGCATACTATGAACTCCGGACAAGGTGAGCTCCTCTAGGTATTCCTGCTATGACCAAGTTGGAAAACAAGGTCAAACAACTAAGTAGATTACATGCAAGAAAACGATAAGAATAACTTTGCTTAGGAAGAACGCTTAGTCAAATCAAATACCGTGGAAAGCTAATAGACGATAGTGTATAATCAGAAATGCTTACTCACACAACTAACAAATGCATATAATAGTATGAAGATAAAAGAGGAAAGAAGAAACGGATAGAAGGAAGTGCAGATATAACTAAATGATACTAGATTATCCAGTGAGCAAGCCGAGAGAAAGATGAACTATTAAATGTATTAGTGCCTGTACATGAGACTAAGCGGGGAAATGAGTAATAAAGCAACCTTGAGCAATCAAATGCTCAGACAAAGATGATAACACCAGAAAGCCTCACGACTTTCAAATGCTGGAAGACTGGGCAAGAGAACTGGCGGGAAGGACTGGGCGACAGTCGAAACTGCGATCAATGCAATTTTCAAGGACCACCTAATATCCTGTTGACCTGCCGCCCTGCTCAGCGCCACTGCCAGTTAGCACTGTAGTCCGCCCAGATGCCGAGGATGTGGCTGCCGCAGTCCATTCCATGCTGCCTGAGCCATCTGGGTCGTCTTCATCGTCGTCAGCAGCGCCATCGAATGTCTCGTCATCAGCACCGATGGATATGCCAAAGATTTGGTTGAATTGGTGTCTATATATGAGTCGCAGTTCGGTCAACAGAGCATGATAATCAGTATGCCAAAAGCGTGCAATGTTCGGACAGTGAGAAAGGCTGTTGTTACCATTGCCACTGGCATTACTAATGTCGTGATTGTAAGTCTTAGATCCCAAGCCGTTGGTGACAACGGAATCAGCTGGAGTTAAAGTAGCAGTCAGCAAATAGGGAGCCAAGTTAGATGAGTCGGACTGGATGCAAGAGAAATCAGATGATTAGATGGAGAGAAAGAAATGATAAAGAACGTTATTAGAATGATAACATTTAAAAATAGAATATGAATGAGTATGATAAGTCTATTAAGGAGTGATTAGTATTCGAGAGTATCAGTAGGTAGTTTACAAAAGATAGGGCTACTATGCAAAAATACAGAGGTGATTTAGCATAAATGAATTAGGTAGGACTCATAATACTTATTGTTACAAAGTCAATCATAAGCGAAACAAGAAACGAAGTCAAGTGTCCTCCTTCCAAAGGTTTGCTTGCTAATCGCACTTTTGGGCTGCTTTTTTTCTTTATCCAACAACCACTTAGGAAA